ATCTTTCCTTTATTTCCCCCAATTCTCTCCCAGTGGAGGGGCCAGAGTTGAAGCAAGAGAATTATGAGTGGAAAGAGGGAGTGACCACCCCCCTCCTCCTTTGGGTGGCATCCCTCAGTACCGCTCAGAGCATGATTTAAATCAGTGGGAAGAGACCAGATGAGTCCAGCTCTGAGGACAGGAGTATGGCCAAGGCAGAAACCCCTCAGGCCCTGCCATAGTCCTTGATGCTAACGACACAAGTCCCTCGTGTGTGAAGGCCTTTTTGTAAGCATACAGTTATTTTTAAGCATTTCACAGATAGATTCTGATGGAAATCTCATAATAACTACCTGAGATGAGCAGAAAAATTATAATTAATCATTAACCCTATGGGGCTTCCCTGGTGGCTCAGATGGTAAAGAATCTGCCTACAATGCAGGAGAAGAAGAACCTGGCGGGCTACAGTCCCTGAGGTTGAATACAGTCGGACACGATGGAGTGGCTAAGCGTGCAGGCACTAAACTTATGAGCAGAAGAGTCATGATTAATCACTAACTTTATTGTATAAATTAAAGCACACAAGTGCTGTGATGCTTAGAGATGCTGCGTAGCTCACGAGCAGGGGAGCCAGCCCTGGAAGCCTGAACGTGGGAGCCCCAGGCCTGCCTCCTGCTTTTCCACTGTTCACCACTTCAGTGCAATTAATACCGAGACTTGTTGACACGTTCCAGAAATCCCCATGGTCCCAAAGGACCTGCCTCAGGTGAAACCTCCAAAAATCAACAGTGACTCTGAGAAAGTTGCCGTCTGTCCCCTGTTCCCACAGCAGACAATCGGAAAAAGCAGAGAGTCCCACACAGGGAGAGGAAGCGGCACGACTTCTCCTTGTTTAAGCTTTCCGACTCGGAGATGAGGGTGAAGATCTCACCACAGCTTCTGCTGGCCACGCACCGCTTCATGGCCACAGGTATGATAACCCTGCCCTCCTGCATCTCCACCCCAGGCAGGCAAGGCAGCTCTGGAGGGTGGAACCCAGGCACCGGTCATCCTTAATACCTTGTAACGTGAGTCCAGTGCAGGGACTGAGAACCGCTGTTCCGCAAAAGGAGGTTATCCTTGGGCAGGGGACCCTACATTTGCTCGTTTTCAGCCTCCGGTCTTCTCAGGGTAAGTGAGTATGATGCAGTTCTGCTTTTCTCTCTTCTACTTGAGAAAAGAGCTGAGGAATCCACCGCTGCACTTTCCATTCCTCTACCTGCTTCATGGTGGGGTTTGGTGGTCCAGAGGGTTCCTTTGAGAGGGCAGGCGATGTCCTATGTAGCCACAAAGGCCCTGGGGCCCGGACCCTCCAGGAGCCGTGTAGGCCTGTGAGCTATGAGTTCTTCAAATACAGACGTGGACTGTGAATCCCAGAATCTTTAGAGGAAGAAAAGAGAGGATCCAAAGATAAATTTCTCCTTCTTGTAAAGAAGGTAAAATTGTCTTTGAACTGTCTAATCTTCTCACTCATGCCTAATTAATGTGCTGACCTACAACAATCACACACATTAGTAAGTTCACTATTTAATTAATCTGGCATGTATTTATTGAATGTATAATGAATGCTAGTACTGTTCCAGATGCTAAAAGGTAGAAAATTTTAAATTGGAGCTTCTTTAGGGTTTTCAACATGTAATATAGTTCTGACTTTATAGTTCTAATATAGGCTTTCAATGTTGACTACAGATGTCAACTGGGTATCTGATTTCCTAGAACAAAGCAGATGTATCTGTAAATATAATGATATGCCATAATATAATACTATGTGAAGTTGCTCAGTTGTGTTCGATTCTTTGTGACCCCATGGACTGTAGCCTACCGGGCTCCTCTCTCCATGGGATTTTCCAGGCAAGAGTACTGGAGTGGGTTGCCATTTCCTTCTCCAGGGGATCTTCCCAACCCAAATCCAGGGATTGAACCCGGGTCTCCTGCATTGCAGGCAGACACTTTACCATCTGAGCCACCAGGGAAGTGGCTAATATAATACTGTAGTATAACATAATATAAATAATAATATAACATATAATAATGTCTATTAATATGTAAATATGATTCAATGATGCTTCTTATTGAGAACTTTCCACTTAAATAATTAAGTGTTCCTGTTAACTTGAAATTTCATTTCGCTCAACAGATATACATCATACAAATAAGTAAGATTAAATTCTCCGTATTTCATTTGATCATAGCATTAAAGCCTTTTAGCCATGTTCACATGGCTTACTTATCCATGTCCAACTCCAGTTGCTTTTTAAACCACTTTATTGCAGTATAGTTGACATACAAAAAATGGTACATATTTAAGGTAAACAACTTGATGAGCTTGTAAATACACATATGTTCATAAAACCATCATCATAACCTGTGCCATAAACATATCCATCACTTCCAAAAGTTTCCTCCCACCTTCTATATGTGTTATTACTATTTGTGTGTGTGTGTGTGTGTGTGTGTGTGTGTGTGTGTGTGTTAACATAAGATCTTAGCAAAATTTTAAGTATCAGTTCAGTTCAGTTCAGTCACTCAATCATGTCCGACTCTTTGCGACCCCATGGACTGCAGCATGCCAGGCCTCCCTGTCCATCACCAACTCCCAGAGTTTACTCAAACTCATGTGCATTGAGTAGGTGATGCCATCCAACCATCTCACCCTCTGTCATCCCCTTCTCCTCCCACCTTCAATCTTTCCTAGCATCAGGGTCTTTTCAAATGAGTCAGTTCTTCGCATCAGGTGACCCAAGTATTGGAGTTTCAGCTTGAACATCAATCCTTCCAATGAATATTCAGGAATGATTTCCTTTAGATTGGACTAGTTGGATCTCCTTGCTGTCCAGGGGATTCTCTAGAGTCTTCAGTATAGTATTGTTCTTGGGCTCTATATGCTGTGCAGTAGATCTCTAGGATTTATTCATCTGGCATAACTGGAACTCTATACCCTCTGACTAATATCCCCATTACCTCCTTCTCCCAGTCCATTCTACTCTCTGTTTCTATGAATTTGACTATTTAGATTCATCATATAAATGGTATCATGTAATATTTGTCCCTCTGTGCCTGGCTTATGTCACCTAGTATAACTTCCTCCAGGTTCATCCGTGCTGTCACAAATGGCAGGATTTTCTTCTTTTTTAAGTCTATGTGCAGCTTTAAAGAAAATCAAGGAGAAAATTAATAACAAAATGGACACTGTCAAAACAGCAGCCTGAGATGCCAGTGCAGGGACCCATACCCCCAGAGGGCCCGAAGATGCACACTGGGCTTAAGACACACACCCCACCCCACCCCCCCGACCCACCCACCCAAGGGAATTGCAGGATGGAGCGTGGAGCGGGAATGGCTCTGGTGTGTCCACCCTGACTCCTCCCTGCTGCCGATTCCTCCTACCTTCACTCTCCCCTAGAAGTGGAGCCGTTTAAGTCTCTGTACCTCTCGGAGAAGATCCTGCTCCGGCTCTTGAAACATCCCAACGTGATTCAGGAGCTGAAGTTTGATGAGAAGAACAAGAAGGCCCCAGAACACTACCTCTACCAGCGCAACCGCCCCGTGGACTACTTTGTGCTGCTTCTGCAGGTGAGTGGGAAAGCGCTGGACCCTCCAAGGGCAAGATAGGACTTCTCCAGGCTGAAGAGGAATGCCCATGCCTCCTCCAAGCCAAGTTCCAAGGCTGCCTTGGGAGCAAGGCCAGCTGGGGTGGGCGTTTGTCCATGACTCACAGAAGGAGACAGGTGTGACTGGCTGGCATCCTAGAGTGATAGTATCTAGATGGCATTTAGTCTGATGTCAGCAATGTTTGTGGTTGGGGGTGCAGTGGATAGCTCCCAACCAAGGGGGTTCTGCTGCTGAACTTCCTAAACTGGTGTCCTACAAAATCCCTATCACCTCTTGTCTCTGCTTGGCCATGCCCAGGAATGCAACTGTGCACTGCCTCCCAAATTTCAGGCACTCCTTGTTTTAAGCTCTTCTCTCTGTCTTGCTAAAATCTCACCATCTCTGATTTCCTTGCTCTCCTCTCTGGAGGCACATGGAACACGTCCACTCTCTCTGCCACACTTCAACCGTCGCAGTCCCTTAATCTTCTCCTTAGGGGACTATGAGGGAATAAACAAGCAAATGAGAGAGATGCAGCATCTTCCTGGTACGCACATGAATACAGTCACCCCCCCTCCCCCGCCCTGAGGGGGGTGTAAATAAGTGGTTCAGTTCAGTTCAGTTCAGTTGCTCAGTGGAGAGGCCTGTAAATAAGTGTCAGGCATGGTTCCAGCCCCGCCTCCTGGCCTGGCTCCACCATTAGCCCCGTCCCTATTCATCGTCTCATCCCAATAGAATCTGGTGAACCCTAAATACAATGATTGTCTTAAAATCTTAATTAAATTCACACTGACTTAGAAAGGGCCTCTCTGTTACAGTCCCCCTGCCACCTGCCTGCTTGGACACGGTATATGCCTCAAACCCATCCTTCCAGATAGCCTCGTTAAAATGCCGCCTTCTCCAGAAATGGAGTCACATTCTTTACTGTTGGAAATTGAGAAGGGTGTTTACTTTGTTTATATAACACAAGGAACGCAAGTAGAGTCTTATGCCTAATATAAATGTAACCATTTTCAAATAAATCTTGGTGGGGGTAAAATATAGGGGCAAGAGGGTAGTTTCAGAAATTGGAAAGGCCTAGTTTTGAAATTCCATTATTGGTACTAGTTAACTAACCTTGACTCAGTTATGTAATCTTTATGAGCCTCAAAATTGATTCATCTTTAAAACTGGGGGTAAAAATAGTACAGACCTTGTAGGGTCTGGTATGGATCGTTGCAGTGCATATACACGGTTTCAGACCCCTAATAGCATACCATATGCTCAAGCTTCTCACAGAATCTGGCTTTATCTCAGCTAGAGATAATAGAGATGGTCTAGTCTCAGACTATACCACTGGAGCAGTTTATGGGGTTTATGGGATCCTGAGCTAGCTGGGCCTGCCTCATGAAGGAGCCGTTAGAGTCTTCAAGGAAAGCTTGCATGTTCATGACTGGATACTTCTTTATGAACTAAGCAAGGACTTTACTGCCAAGGGCTCCTGAAGTTAAAGCTGCTTTTTCCAAAACATACCTGGATGGAATTCACATTCTCCTGTGATAAGATTTTAGGTCCACTTATTATCCAAACAGAAGTGCTTAGGGTCGTCTTCACTAAAAGAGCTGGAAGTGCTCATCCACACCCTTAGCACACTTCCTTCTTTCTCCAGGGTAAAGTGGAGGTGGAGGTTGGTAAGGAAGGCCTTCGCTTCGAGAACGGAGCCTTCACCTACTATGGTGTCCCAGCCATCATGACCACTGCTTGCTCAGGTATTCCAGTTTCCAAGCCGTAGCTTATTGGGGAAGCAGTGGGATAGTGGAGAAAATGCATCTGGGTTCCAAGTCATGACTCCTGTTATGGACCCCGGACAAGCCTTTTACTTTCCCAGACTTTAGAAGTGGAAGTACATGGTAGACTGTAACATTATCCAGTGTTAGGGATGGATAGTGGTAATTTTCAGTATGAAAAGACACGTTTATTTTACTCTTTATACTTCCACCTGATTACCCTATTTTTGCAGGGTTGATTGGTGCTGTGGGTGGGGTCGAAGAGGGAGAATTCCTTTAAGAAGGTGTGTTTTCTGAATTGCCTCTGAAACACACTGCATCCTTCTGTCCTTAGATAACGATGTGCGGAAGGTTGGAAGCCTGGCTGGATCCTCTGTCTTTCGTATGTATCTCTCAAACCCCTCCCTTGTCCTCCCTGCCAAGGTCCTGCCTCAGCCCAGTCTGGGGACCCAGACTGACCACTCTCAGCCTGGGCTGGGACTAACAAAAATGCTGGCAGCCTCTTTGTATGCTCTGCCAGGAACACTGCTTTCTGCCAGGTACGTGCAGTCCACGGGGGGCTTAGTTTCTGAGAGTCTAAAATGTTTTCTGCTGCTTCTCTGCTCATGTGCAAAGTGATGAATGACCAGCGAGAGAGGTTGTGAGGGGAGGCACCATTTGCTGTCACCTGCCAGGGAATGCAAGCAGGCGGTTTTGTGTGCTCTGTTGGAGGTTGAACCGTTCCTTCTGTGCTGTGATAATTCACCCTCTGTCCTCTACTTGCAAACCTTAATATGCTATTATTGTGTCTGTGGCATTTAGTAAGCAGCAACAGCAAGGTCTTAGGATGTAAACCTCAGGCTGGCACGTATGTTGCTCATCTGCTTCTCTTTGCTCATTGACCACATCTCAGCAGGTGGAGAGGGGTCTGCGGCTGGCCGTGCATGCTGATGGCAGGGGCTGGCACAGGCTGCTGGTGGGTGTTCTGCCCCTTCTGTGCTCTACCTTCTCTCTGCTTCCTGCATCAGTTATCGTACTTGTGTTTAGAGGGCATGGCATTTGTTGCGATATAAGTGTGATCCAGAAAGCATTATTTCTCTAGATTTGTCTTTGATTCACCAGTCTGAATTTTGCATTGCTTTCAGCTCTTAGTATTTATGGTGGCCATTTTAATGCCAAATGGGTGTTTTTTCTAATCATAAAAAAAAAATCTTCCATAGTGCTTTACATTGGGATTTATCAGAGGGTCCCAAAACTTGAACTCACAATCTATGGCACCTGAAAAGCATATACTGTTTTAACAGAGAAACTAAAGAAATGACTTGCTCCGAATCACCTCAATGCAATTATTTACCTCAATGCATTCCAGGGGCCTGACTCATTCAAACAGCACAATGAAATACAGATCTTAGATCCAACGTGTCCCAGGATATCATTTCTATGTGGGAATATTGGGACAATTTACAATGTAATTCCCACCCTGGCCCAACAGAGGGCTTAAATGAAATTGAAATAGCTGCCCACACCCAAGGAGTGGTCCCACATATGTGGAAGGAGGACTGTAACATAAAAAACCCTGGTATGTTTTAAACCGGCAAATCTCAATTCAGGTTGGTGAAGGAAGCATCAGTTGGCAGAACAAGAAGTCAAGATATGGGAGAGGGATGGTCTATAGGACCAAGTAGACCTTGGTTCTCCAAAGGAGGTCTCCACCAGCCATCACACTGGTGCTTGCACAAGGTAGAGTGACTACTGAGATTCAAAGTGTTACCTAAATGTGTTGGCCTTTACATAAGACCAAAAGAAGTGGGGACTCTAGGGGTAAATTGCTGCGTAAAGGTCCCAAGCCCATCTAATTTACATGACTTTCTTCTTTAAAAAAAATTTTTTTAAGTAGTAGGAAAATGTTATCTGGTTTCCTCCTTGCTTCCTGTCTCTAGTTCTTTCAATCAAAATCTATTTTATCATTGAGACAGAATAAACCTGCAATAGTAATCTCTCCTTCAAAACTGGTTAACTAAAAAGAAATATTAACCTCTCTTTCCCTCCCCACACTTCTGAGCATCTTTATTTATCCATCTTCAGGAGGAAAAAGAAATCAAATTAGCTTGTAGTGATATAAAGACATTTTCCATTCTCTCCCATGAGCCCTCCACACCTAATAGAGTGAGGTGTGGATAAGTGCAAAGACCACCACCACTACCCCCTGCCCCTGCTTATTCGAGGTCCACCTCTCAGCCCAGGTCCAGCCACCCAGCATCTTTCACTGTCCAAGAACCTTACTTGTAGGTCAAGGAAGAGCTTAAGGCTGAACCACAAGGTGGTGGATCCTTGTAGGGTCTCAGTCTACCTAACTAGCCCTGTCCTTGATGTCAATCTAGAGCTTTGTCAGCCTCGAGGGTGATAAATGAGATGTTGAGTTTGCCAGAACACTGGCCCTGTGACCGATGTCTCAAAGTTGAGCCTGAGGTTATAAGTCAGTCTGAGGTTATAAGTCTGTCCTCTGCTTTTCCTGTGCTCGGTGAAGGAAGCACAGTCAGCACTGTCTCCTTTGTCTTGGTTCTGATTGCCAGGGAACCCAGGAGGACCACAGTGAGCCTGGTAATCTGGAGGAATAGGACCTGAGCTCAGCATGACCAGAACAGATGCCCACAGGGGTGTGGAAGTGGGAGAGAACAAGTCTCCTATTTGCTTGACTGAGATATATTTAATTTGTGGCCTGGAAGCACTAGGATTCTTCTCAAGACAATGGGATTTCTTATTCCAGTGTGTCTTGCAACACTAGGGGCCCATTTAAATATTCTTTGACAAAGAATATGATTATTTGACAAAGTAAATGATTATCAGGTAGGATAAGGCTCTCCCCTCTCCTCTTTACACTATTGGGTAATTTCAGGCAAGTCATCAGGTGCAGCAACTAAGACTGCCAAAGCCATCTATTTCAGTGTGCTGTCCCCTGCAGACTGACTTCATTTAGCTTCTTGGAAGGGACTCTGGGAATGATCAGAAAAGAGGGATAAAGACAGATTCCCTCCTGGAAATACTGCTCAATCAGGGTCAAGGTTGGGGAAGGACTGGAATATTACTACACACTCCACTTCACCCAGGCCCCAAGTGATAGCCAGCACCATTTCAGACTGTGGGGAAAGAGAGAGAAGGAAAAGGGGATAGGAAGAGAGGTGCTTTGGAGCACTTGTACTTGCTAAGAAGTGACTATGATTTAGTTTATCAAGTTGATTCACATTAAGATTGCTAGAAACTGCCCCTCCTGTGTCCCGAGGCTCTGGCTGTCCCCAGCACTGTGCCCACTGAGGGAACTCCTAGGAGTCCAAGGCAGAAGATGGCCTTCTCTTCCTCACGGATGACCCTAGCAGGAGCTTGCACTTTGCTTTCAGCCCTGCTGCAGGTGAGAAGCCCTAAGGCAGTCGGAAGGGCCTGGGGGAATGCAGTGCTGGGCTCCCAACACATGTGCTGGCTCAAAAAGGCGCCTCAGATGGAACCCTGCCCACGCCTACTCCCTGCTGGGGCACTGCCTGTTCTTGTCACTGGTGGGTCTCATCCCCTCTGAGATTATTGTGCATCTTTTTGGAAGACCTTCAGCAAAATCTAATTATTTTCTTCTTTCCGGAGAGTGACTTTGTGAGAAGATGTGATTTCCATGTTTCCAGAGGCAAGACTCCCTTTGGCAGAGAAATGGGATATTGTGAAGATCCAGGAGCAGACTGTCTCACCCACTTTGCTCTTTGTCTCTCTCCTTTTGTGTTTATCTTCCCCTTCGCAACTCACAAATCCTTGACTCTTTAGTGCCTGTCTCTGTGTCTCGTACCTTCGCCTTCAGCAGAGGGGACTCTCTGGCAGGCTCCCCAGGTAAACATGCATGGGGTCTCGGTCTCCATAGATCCATGGGGTCTCCATAGATTCATGGGGTTTACAAGAGGCCTTTGGTCTCTGTCACTGTCCCACATGAAAACTAGCCTCTCCCAACAGACACACCCAGGACGAAGGCATAGCACGATGCACTGCTAATACTCACTGGTACTCACTGCCCAAGCATTGCTGGTGCGGTGGTGTCACTTATGAACTGAGCCCCCAGGGATATGTCTGTGTGCATCCATGTGAGAAATGGGGAGGGCTGGTGGGGAATGGTTTGAGTTTTTCCTTATCGTTTGTCTGACTGCAGAAAGGAGGGATAAGAGGTGCAACAGGTGAAAAATGGGAGAAAACAATGAAAGGCTATGCTTTATTTCCATTTTTCCTGTCTTTTCTTCTATGTAGTCTCTGACCTCAGTTAACCACTAACCCCACCTCATCTTCCTAGAAATGTTACTTTGTAGTGACCATAATCTCACTGGCTGTGCTCACACAAAGGATGCTATATTAAAAACTTCAGTACAACTTTTCATTAGGTTTAACCTCTCCTGTTAATGAAAAGTTACCAATTTCTTTTTAATCAGGTAAAGCAGCTCCATACTATAACTCAAAGATGGAGTAGAATGTAATAAATCTGAACAATCGGCTAAGAGCTTGTTTTTCCTTTTTTTCATCCCTAGAAGTTTATTTCTTAGTTTCATGGAGCAAATAATGACCAAACTAAGGATTTATTTAAGTTACCCTGAAGTTAAAGCACAATCCAATTTCCCACACCCTCTACATCTGTCTTCCTTATTCCAATGCTATGGTAGTGATTCTGAGGCCCCACCATAGCCTCATCATCAAGAAATCAGTTGTATTTCACTGTGTATATAGTAGATTCTCAACATTCAAATAGGCCGAGACCTCAAACCCCCAAATTTGCAACTTCAGAACTATTTATGTTGACTTCTACTTTCTCACAAACCAGAGTTTTCCATCAAAAACCATCTGGTTCCCATGTTTATCTGCATAAGACAAATTAACCACCTTCTCCAATTTCATCAGTTTTCTCTCTTACTTCATGGTGATTTTCCACCAAGAAATAAATTTTTTTTTCTCATTTTGTGGGAGCTCATGCCTTTATGATGACTCCAGGGGAGTGGCCCGTCAGAGATGCCAATCTGGTGCCCTCACCAGCTGAGTGGTCACTCCCACATGCCAGCAAAATTAGAAGCAACCACATCATGGACCTTCAAGATCCTTCCCACGTGAGGAGTCTTGGTGAATGAATAATGTGCTCTTTAGTTTCAGCAGAAAGGGAAGATGCACATTTTTTAAAGATTTTCAACTAAAAAGATCAAAGCATTAAAAAAGAAGAATGAAGCATGAGAGCAGGGACATACTTTTTAAAAATTAACCCTCAGCTCATCAGACAGCCTAGTTAATGATAACTTCCTACTTAACAGAAGGTTAGTTCTAGTTCATCAGTATAATCCTATAATTTAGTATTTCCAGTCATTCTTCCTTCTGTTCCATATCAGCAGAAGAAGAAGCCTCAGTCATCAGATTTACAGAAAGCAGTTGTGGGCACATTCTGGCCCCATACTTGATTTATTACCCAGATATATTAATTTATATATATTATGTCTTACTCCCTTTTTTTTTTTTTTTTGGTCACACCGCATGGCAGGAGGGATCTTAGTTCCCCCACCAGGGATTGAACTCATGCCCCCTGCAGTGGAAGCACAGAGTCCTAACCTTTGGACCTCCAGGGGAGTCCCTGGAAATTAAGAGGGCTTTTAAGTTTTAAAAAAAAAGCCTGGTTATTTTTTAAATATTTTTTAAATCCCCACAACCACCTTAGGAGATGGGCAGAAATTGTTTGGGAGCAATAGGTAAGGAAACAGCTTTAAGAAATTAAGCCGTTGCATCAGTGTCGGAGGCGTAATTAGGATGTAGAGGGCTGAGTACCAGAATCCAACTCCCTTAAGCCCTGTTCTATTGCCTGGGACCTCACTGCGTTTCTGAATGCGGGCCTGTTGTGCCCTCTAGAGGGCTGCGACTGGTTTGCATTTTGAAAGCAGCTGTGCTAATGAACTATGGTACTCACCTTGGATTGAGGCCGGCGGTCCCTACTCCAAATATTGCCACCATTACGCAAAGGCAGTTTCCTTCTAGTTGAGACTTAGTGTGAAATAAGGAGAGCAGAGTGTGTGTGGATTACCTCCAGAGTGTGCTGTGATTGGCCAGATTTGCAGGTGTTTTCATTTAAAAATAAAACCACTGAGAGTACACAGCCCCACTACAGTTATCATTCTCTGTCCCTGGATTCATTCCTTTTTTCTTCTCCTGATGGTAGAGATGACTTCAAGTTCCCCATGACAGTCCTTCTGAATCCATGAAAGAACAAAAGCAAGAGAGAGGCCGCGAGCAAGGGTCCTTTTTCCATGCCCAGTTGCATTTGTAATGTACTTTGAGATCAGTGGAGATAGTTTTTTCCCCAGAATATAAAGGAAGTACCTAAAAATAATCTTTTTACTTTGTGAAATGTGGTAAGTGGAAATATTTCTTTGGGTCGGCTCTTGCATAGTAAACATTTGGGAACCATTAAAGCTCCATGTAACGTGAGCGAGTTCATCTGGGCTCCTAGCTTGGGCTGATTTGCAGAGTTCACATTGTAGCTTTGACAGAGAGCTTTTGGCATTTGGTTGTCTGATGTTGAATAGTACCCCAGGATGATGAATTTTAATAATCCTAGTTTGTACTCTTATAAGCCTGTGTAACTAAATTCCCCCATCCAGTAAGAAAACACAGATGGCCTGTGGCATAGTGACGATGACCAAATTGGGCTGTCCCTCAGTGAGACTCGGAAAGATGTAAGCAGGCAGCTGCTGAACCCTACCTCTTCTCACATCCCCAGACTGAAAAGGAGAATGAGGTGTTCTTCTGTGCGTGTCTCCTGTTCCTGGGATAGAGTTGCGAAAGCTCTGGGCACAGGTGTCACAAGTAAAGCAAGAGTCCCAGAGGTGTGTCTAGGTTTTCAGGGCCCCTGTCTATCCGTGCAGAATGAGGGGAGATTCCATCCAGCCCTGACTGCACTTTAAAAACCTCTTCCACCCCTTCTCTCACCCCAGCCTGATTTTACCCCAATGTCTTCTCCACCCAAACTCAGGAACTCCAACTTGCCATCCAGGACAGATGTACCTTACAGGCTAACCACACGAAGTCTGCAGGAATGAGCTTGCCACACTTCTCCACCCAAATTGAGAGCATGATGTAAGAGCAAGATGGGCGAGGGAGATGGCAACAGCTTGGCCTGCACCCTGCTGAGGGATCCTGTGGTCAGTTTCATGCATCACTACCCAGTTCGTCGCCTCTTAGACCTCTTTGCTCTGTGCTTAGAATTTTTCTTCTCTCTTCACTCCCCCAAGCTGTGCCTCTGTGCTCTTAGAAAATGCCAAGGGGAATTATACAACTTGAACTAGTTTGCCATGCTGCTGGGACACTCGTCTGTTACTGATTTCTTCTCTCTTTTTTTTATTAAAAGCATTTCCATTTCCCTTGCTCAAAAACTTCTGAGTGTATGTGCACAATTACCAAAATGCCGAGTCATCAGCATCCTACCTATTGAGGAATGTCAGGCTCTGGGACACAAAGTCATTGATCTTGCACAACAGTCAGATGGGCTGGGACTTTCTTTGTCATGAAATAAAGATTCCTTTTTCATTTTAAAGATGGCTTTTATAGACCCAACCTTTGTAAGACAGTTGTATCTTTTGGTGTTGGGAATCCTTTGGGATATTATGAATAAATCTTCAATAGCATTGTCTTCACTTAAAAAAAAAAAAAGAAAGAAACATGTTTTTCCTCCCAGCACAACATTGATGTTGCTTGTGTTTGGCGTGTGGGCCCTGTGAGTGACAGCAGGGTGACACGCCTGCGCTGGGCGCTGGTGAAGATGAGAGCTTTGGGAAGAACAGGGCTGAAACTGTTTCCTCTGTTTTCAACAGCAAGTGGAAGTGATTCAGGCAGAAGTTAATTCTGTTCATTTCAGTCGCTCAGTCATGTCCAACTCTTTGCAGCCCCTTGGACTGCAGCATGCCAGGCTTCCCTGTCCATCACCAACTCCCGGAGCTTGTTCAAACTCATGTCCATCAAGTTAGTGATGCCATCCAACCATCTCATCTTCTGTTGTTCCCTTCTCCTCCTGCCTTCAATCTTTCCAGCATCAGGATCTTTTCCAGTGAGTCAGTTCTTGGCATCAGGAGGCCAAAGTATTGACGTTTCAGCTTCAGCTGAATGAATATTTAGGACTGATTTCCTTTAGGATTGACTGGTTTGATCTTGCTGTCTACAGGACTCTCAAAAGTCTTCTCCAACACCACAGTTCAAAAGCATCAGTTTTTCACTTCTTTATGGTCCAACTCTCACATCCATACATGACTACTGGAAAAACCATAGCTTTGACTAGACGGACCTTTGTCAGCAAAGTAATGTCTCTGCTCTTTAGTATGCTGTCTAGGTTTGTCATAGCTTGTAAGTAAGTGGAAGTTGATTAGTAAGCACAATATATTTCCCTATCAGCCTTGCTGAAGCTGTCTTGAATGATGACATAAGGGATGAGAATATAGAACAGAGGTGTGGGGTTGTGGGGCACAGGTCCCACCAGGCAAAGTGGAGGATTATCCATGAGCAGTGGTTATTTCTCAGGGTAACTGAAGCCACAAACCCCTGCTCACACCCACTCTCTTTGTTCCAAACTGAGTTGAAGACAACAACCTACCAGATCAAGGTGTGGTTTTCCAGACTCTTCTCAACCAAGGAAGCCACACTCCTGCAGGACTGCCTGCCCCCTTTTCCAGACAGCCAGACCTGAGTAAGCACTACCAACTGACTCAGTCAGCCACCACCTCAGAACAGCCATAGTGGGTCAAGCCAGACCTTGTCCATTTATTTCAAGGGGCCAGGGCCACATGTGAATGGGTCATTTTCTGCCCAATACTGCTGCTCTGTAGTCGCACTGGTGCTTTATTCCGTTCTCCACATCACCATCATTGTCCCTCTCGGCCCCTGGTCACTCTGGTGTCACGCAGCTGGTAAGCAGGACTCCAGGACTCCTGGTTTCACACACTCTTATTAAATAGACAGACAAACAGAAAGTTCTGATGTTTCTTGAGGCCTCTTCCTCAAGTTATGGGGCCTTGGCAGTGCATTCTGGAGTGTCCTTCTGCCCACCCCTCACTTCAAGAAATCAGTCTACCGGGAATGACTTAGGTTGCTGGAAAAGGCTTTCTGATTCCAGAGTGACTAAAAGCTCTGAAATCTTTTTAAAAACAAAATTTAGATTCTAAATTAAAACTCCTTCAGGGACCTAATGACTGAAAAGTGAGTGCAGGGATTGGAGGGCTAAAATGAGGAGAGAAAAGGGGGCATGAAGGTAAAATGAGGGCGAGGGGAGCAGGGGTAATGGCATCTACTGAGGTGGGGGAGGCTTACATGATTGAGGATCCACAAGGGGGCCAGTAGGCTAGAGCAGAACAAGCAAGGTGGGGAAGAGCCCCAGGAGGAGATCAGATGGGAAAGCAGGGGTCAAGTCATGGGGGGCTTAGGGCTTAGGGTCAAGTCATGGGGGGCTTAGTGCTTAGGGTCAAGTCATGGGGGGCTTAGATTCAACTGGAACCTGATTTGTGTGTTTTTGTTTGTTTTTAATATTTATTTATTTGGCTACACCAGGTCTTAGTTGTGGCACTCAGGATCTTTTGTTGCAGCGCACAGACTCTCCAGCTGTGGCATGTGGTCTTAGTTGCTAATTCCCCCACCAGGAATTGACCTGTGTCCTTTACATTGCAAGGCAGATTCTTAACCACTGGACTTCCAGGGAAGTCCCCTGATTTGTGTTTTTAAAATGTGCTTTTGACATCTGAGGTGAGAACAGATTATGACATTATAATTGGGGAGACCAGACTGTGGTCGAGGCAAGAGTGACAGTAACTGGGACTTGAGCGGAGATAGAGACCTGATGTGGGGCTGATGGATTGGCAGGAGTCACAGGAGACTCCCAGGTTTCTACAGTGTATATATGGATAACACTTAACTGAGAAGGGAAAGACTGGAGGTAGAACCCTTAATTCTATAACCTGATCAAGGTAGTGATTATTCTGGCTCTAATGAGAAAATGATTCAACATATTGTCATTTTAATCTTCCCTCTACATGGTTTGCCAGACAACAGTAACAGCTTGACAGCTAAACAGACGGTCAGACCTCCAGAAGTCACTCCAAAGAGATGCTAATCATTTTGATTGATGGCAGCATTATCTTAAGAAACAAAATTAAATTCCTAAGGTTCTTCCCTGAAGGAACCGAGGAGCCTAATCTCTAAACAATCAGGCTCTTCATTGGCGCCCCTGAACTGACTGTGTTAGGAGAGGCTGCAGCTTCCCACTTCTCTTTCTTGGGAAGAAATGCAGAGTGGTGTCAGAGGGATGCTGAGCGGTGGAAAGGGCTTTGCAGTCTCACTCAGGGTTATTCTGTGGTGGAGATAATGCTAGGGTCACCTTAGGAACCTCTCTTCTGTTGATCCTGGGAGGGCAGTTCCCAGTCCATTTTGAAATCAAGTGATACGATCATAATTGAACTTTCCCAAGAAATTGTTCTTGAAAATGGAAAAAATAATATTCTGACTGACTCAGAATATTCAGGAGGCCTTTGACAGAAGGTCTGGAGCATTATTCCAGCCTCCAGCCTGTGAGCCTAGAGAGAGCCCTGCCTGAGACCCCCCCAGAGGGGGCCCCACTTTGGCCTTCCCCAGCTCCACCTCCTCTCTGTGGGGTGAGTAGTTCACAGAGCCAAAGGGATGTATACCACCCAGAGCTGTGTTTTTCCTTCTAGAACATATTTCAGATACAGGACTCCTGAATTTTCCACCCAGACAGCTCTAGGAGACCAGGCCGGGAAGCCCTAGGGCAGGGCAGGGTCTCCCCTGCAGCCTATTTTCTGGCACAAAAATCTAAGGAGCCTGACCTGGCCTACTAGGTTGTTAAGACGGTATATTTGTCAAGGAGAAGTATAGAGCATTTTTTAACAGTTTATTGATGTGATTTAAATATCTATCCATATGGCTTGTGGGTCTCTGCTGGTCCCTGCCTGCCAGTTATGGAGCAGGCCTGACATTGCCTCTGAAATGCCTGACCACAGTGAGAGCTGGTTATCTGTGCTTGCCAGGTGGTTTTTAGGGCAAACCTAAGGCTTCAGCCTTTCTGAAAGAAGGTTTGTGAATGGAGTTTATATAAAACAACTCACTTTGGTTAATAAAGGGTCTCATGGTCTGGGGTAGCCACCCACATTCCCAGCAGGGTCCTCATCTCTTGCCCTTCCTTACCCCTGAACCAAGAAAGGCAGTGGACCACCCAGCTCCCCGCTGGTAGAGGTCACGGGGTGGGAAGGAGCCTGAGCCAAGTGGAGCCCAGAGGTCTGAATTTGTTACTCATAAATGGAGCAGCAGGGCATTTCCTGGGCTCTGAGGGGAGAGGTGAGGGCCCCGTGTTGCCATAACCTAAATGTCCTGTGGGACCTCAGTAAACAACACCCCTTCCTCTCTCTCCCTCTTTTATTTCCCCCTACTGCCTCCCCACCCCACCCTCCTTGCCTTCCCCCCCATCTCCTCTCTCATCATCTGCAGTAAACCGGTCCCCTTCCCGCTGCAGTGGGTTGAACCGCTCGGAGTCTCCGAACCGCGAGCGCAGTGACTTTGGGGGGAGCAACACCCAGCTATGCAGCAGCAGCAACAACCTCTACACGCCCGACTACTCGGTCCACATCCTCAGCGACGTGCAGTTCGTGAAGGTAACTCTGCAGAGGGCCTTCCCCTCACCCCGACCCTGCAGCCTTCTGTTCCCCGTTCCAAGAGAACGCGGCATGAACACCATACCTCGGCTTTCCAAAGGCCCTGGTTTCAGTCAGTTTTTTTTTTCTCCCCAGTCAGTTCTATTCTGTTAATTATTTGTCACTATTATTGTTCCTTTGTTCATTTGAACCCTGGTTGTTCATGACTGTCTCCCCATTTTTCATGTGGAAAAACTGAGGCAGGAAGAGATAGGGAATTAGCTTGCCTGAGAGAAGTTGCCAGCAGGACTGTTTCCTTTAATTGCCCCATCATTGGCACAAGGTTGATTTGGTTTATTCAAGATAAATTTGCAGGGGATTAATAAACCAAGCATATAGTAGAGTATCCCTGGAGAAGGAAATGGCAACCCACTCCAGTATTCCTGTCTGGGAAGTCCCATGGACAGAGGAGCCTGGCAGGCTACAGTCCATAGGGTCACAAAAGAGTTGGACGCGACTTAGGAACTAAACAACAACAACAATATAGTAGTATATAGTGTATAGTGGCTTCTCAGGTGCCTCCATGCATGCTCAGTGGTGTTCGATTCTTTGTGACCCCACAGACTCTAGTCCACCAGACTCTTCTTTCTGTGGGGATTCCCAGGCAAGAATACTGGGGTGGATTGCCATTTCCTCCTCCAGGGGGTCTTCCTGACCCAGGGATTGAACCCGCATCTCCTGCGTCTTCTGCATTGGCAGGCAGATTCTTTACCACTGAGCCACCTGGGAATCCCAGCTATGATCTTACATATGTATAAGGTTTCACATATTATTATCTAGAAATCTAAAACACAATGCAACCTGTTAGGTTAGCTGAAAATCTTTGTATAATTATCATACCACCTTGCCCTCTCACTGAGCTATTTGAAGAGAATCACTTTACAAGTATGAGAGAGGCAGCAATGCTTATCACCTTATAGTTAAGGAAAGCTGTTTCTTCATACCCCTCACTGAGTTTAATATTAGACAAACATATTCTAAGATTTCCTCCTTTCTCTTGCTTTGATAGGTTTTATTTTGTTGGTTTTGTTTGCTAGCATTCCGCAAATCATTGCACATTGATAGGTTTTATTTTGTTGGTTTTGTTTGCTAGCATTCCGCAAATCATTGCACACTTGGCCTGACATCAGAGGGAAACCTATTTACCTGAGTCCAACTAAACACCCAACATGCTTACTTGGTGACTGTCGTTCCGGTTGCAGGCCGGATGATGGTGTGCTGAATCACAAAGGTGGGAGAAGTTCCTCTCCTTCTGTTCAGAACACTCACCCTGATAATTTGAGGGTGGTGTGTGCTAACTGGCTTTCTGTGTTCCATGACTCTGTAGACACCCTGAACTAAAATACACATCATTGATAAAAGCAACCATGGAGAGTTACCAGGGGAGGGGCCGTACCTCTGGAGTGGGCTGGGGTAGTGACTGTTGGTAGCGTGCTCTGTGCTATGCACTTTAAGTCCTTGATCTGAATTATCCACTTAGTCCCACAACCACCTTAAGAGGTAGGTACTCTGTCATCCCCAGTTTATAGATGAAATGGGAGCTTGAGGGGGCTTCCCAGGTGGTTTTAGTGGTAAAGAACTCACCTGCCAGTGCAGGAGACATAAGAGATGCCAGTTGGATCCCTGGGTCAGAACGATCCCCTGGAGATGGAAATGGCAACTCACTCCAGTATTCTTGCCTGGGAAATTCTGCAGATAGAGGAGCCATGCAGGCTACAGTCCATGGGGTCACAAAGAGTCAGAGACAACTGAAGTGACTCAGCATACATACACATGGGAGTTTGAGGAGTATAAGTTCTCATAGCTGGGAAGTGGCAGAACCAAGCTGCATGCTGCAAGATTAAGTCTCTCTGTCTCCAGAGTCAAGTCCCTCAAGTCACTGGACTTTGAGAGAGTTCAGGGAAATCAGAGCTGATAGAGCCAAGGGAAAGTGCTTTAGTAATAAATCCAACAGTATGCACGGTATGTATGATTGTGGACACTCTAACTAGTCTATCATGATAATGAGGTTGAACCTCAGAAAACAACAGCCCACGATTCTCCTCCCTCTTGCCTCCAGCCCTGAAGCCCTGTCATTGTAGACCGTCCTCAGAAGTGGGGTAGGAAAAAGTGGGAGGAGAGAAATTCTGCTGTGCTAACTCAGTGGTTGGTAGTACTGGGCACGTGGTTTGTGGGAAAAGAAATTGAAGGTCATGATATGAGTCAGTGGCTCAACAGGTGTCTACTGACTTACTTGCTCGTGCTCAGCACTGTCTGGGCATCAACGAGATACTGTGGTCAACAAGACTGCAAGTTCCTGCTTTTCTAGAGCTTCCAGGCTCACAGGAGGAGAAAGGTGATAAACAAGTAACCACATCAGTAACCTAGGTTATTTAGGAGAGTGATGAAGGCTCTGAAGGAAATAGATCATGGGATAAACAGTGCCTGGGCAGAGTTGGCAAGGAGGCTGCTTTAGAAATGGTTATTAGAGCAGGCTGAGAAAAGGGAATTTTCTCTTGGGACCTGGAAGGGGCTGTGGAGAGAATGTTCAAGATAGAAATGACAGAGGCAGGAAAGAGTTTGGTGGTCCGAGGATATTTGGCCTGGCGCGTTATGTGCAGACAGAGGCTGACATGAGTTGGGAATAGAGTGTGGGTAGCAGTGTTACCTGGCATCTTTAGGCCAGAGCACAGGGTCTGGATTCTGTTTTAAGTGCATTGGGAATTTTTGTTAAGTTCGTTTCTCAGGTCTTTCCACTTGTCTTAGTCTATTTTAGCTGTTATAACAATTACCATAGACTGGGCGACTCAGACCGCATTTATTTCTCACAGTTCTTGGAAGCTGGATCTCCAAGTTCAAGGTGCTGGTCAATCCAGATGGCATCTGGTGAGAGTCCAGTTCATGGTTTGAAAATGGCTGTCTTCTCTGTGTATCCTCATGTGGTGGGAAGGAGCAGGGAGATGGAGAGATAGAGGAAGTAGGCTTCCTTCTTATAAGGGCACCAATCGCATTCATGAGGGCTCCCTGCTCATGACCTGACTACCTCCAAGGCTCTACCTCCTAATGCCATCACCATGGAAGTTAGAATTGCAGCATATGAGTTTTGGAGGAACATAAACATCCAGTCCATAACACCATTTATATCATAAGTCGAGAAAATACATATGAGACTTTGGAGAGAAAAGTGAAGGAGGTTTTGAGGCGTCATGTTTAATGAGCAACTATGATAAGCCCAGAGTTTTCTGAAACATCTCTGGGAGTGCACAGCTTGGAGAGCACTTTTAGGAGATGGATTTGGCTATTCCTCAAAATGGAATGTGTTAGGATGAATACCCAACAAGTTTGTAAGGATTTTCCTAAAATTTACAATTGATCTCACATATCTCATATATCCACTTCTAAAAGCAAATGGAACATTCTATAAATAACAAGGAACATAAAAGGAAAGTCCCTTTCCTGACAGTGAGCCAGTGGCATGCTGAGAGCTCCAAATCCGAGGTCAATTCTCAGGTACAGGTGTCATCCTTTATCTCAGGCCAGAGGGCCTTGCTGTGACTGGGGCAGCGGGGCATCACTGCACATGGTCCTTTTGTCTACCTAGATATTTTGAAATTGAGAAAGCTACCTGTCAGTAGAAGTTTAGGGAAGGCTAGAAACCTAGTAAAGTATTCTTCAGAAATCTCTTTCAACTGTGGTTCAAGTCACTTAAAAACTTCAGTTGCAATGGGTTGTTCTACAGAAGGGAACATTGTAAGTTCAAGCTCTTGTTTAACCTAAGGGTTTGATTTTTCTGTTTTGTTTTTTAATATAGGATGACATTTTTTTCCTGACTGAATGGACCTTTAGGGCCATGTTCAGGTTGCTCTTTTACTCAGCTCCTTAAGCCCACCTTTTTTTTTTTTAATACTAAGAGTTTTTGAGAAAGCTCAAGGGTGATTTCACTGGCCTAAGCCCCTATGACTGACTGCAGAGGCTTTTCCCGTCCAACAGACTAAGTTCTAGAACTGTTCATTAAGTCCAGGCGTAATTTGAGTTCAATATAAAATTAGAAAGAAAGGTATATCCAATATCCAGTGAGTATCTGGGAAAGGTATTAAAGCCATGATTGTGTCTGTGTTTGTTTGTGTTTGTGTGTGTGTGTGTGTGCATGCTCAGTCGCTTCGGTCCTGTCCGACTCTTTGTGACCCTATGGACTGTAGCCCACCAGGCTTCTCTGGCCATGGGATTATCCAAGCAAGAATATTGGAGTGGGTTGCCATGCCATCTTCCAGGAGATCGACCCAACCCAGGGATCGAACCCTCATCTCCTAAGTCTCCTGCAGTGCAAGCAGATTTTTTACCACTGAGCCACCGGGAAAGCCCCAAAGCCATGATTAATAGGAGTTAGTAAGTTACGAAGGTACCGAAGAATCTTTAGGAATTCTTTAATGTATTCAACAAATATTAATATCATCTTTAAATTAAGAACATTTGACAGATGTTGTATAACCTGAATTGTGTAACCATGGCAAAGATGCCCCATCACCATCTGGAGGCAGAATCTCTAAATTGCAAAATTGTGTTTTGAGGGATGAATTTCTGTTGCTGTTTAGTTGCTAAGTTGTGTCCAACTCTTCTGCAACTCCACAGACTATAGCCTGCCAGGCTTTACTGTCTATGGGATTTCCCAGGCAAGAATACTGGAGTGGGTTGCCATTTCCATCTCCAGGGGATCTTCCTGACCTGGGATTAAACCCTCATCTTGAGCACTGGCAGGTGGATACTTTACCAAGGAGCTACCAGGGAAGCCCTTGAGGGATGAGTAAACCACCCGAGAGTTGAAAATGTAAGCAGAACACCATAAGAGGATTGGAAACATCACTCTGGCTGAAGGTGAACTTCTGGATGCATTGACTGCTAAGTCAAAATGTCCCAAAGGGTACCCTTAATTCCTGTTAGTTTCAAGATCAACTGATCTCCATTTCTTTTGTAATTTAGAGGACACTTGAGTTCTTAACTGGCTAGAGTAAAAGACAACTTGAACTCAAGCTATTGCTAAGAAATGGTAGCTACAGTAGTGAAGAGAGAATAAGAAGATGCTGTCCTTTGAACAGTGGTTTCATTCGCTTGGTGCCAGTCAGTATTTCGTAAGCAGTTAACAATGGTTCTAGGCATCATGAGCTGTAATCAAGAAATATAATTGGGGAAAAGAACTATAAATCAAATGACAGTGACCAATGCAGGGTAGTTTCTAACTGATTATGAAATCATATGACACTTTATTTTAAGCACTGTATTGGCTGGAGAATGCACTGGACCTTTAAGAATTAAGAAAGACTAAAAGGTGAGGGAAGGCAAGGTCAAAAGGGAGAGGGAAGGAAGGGGTAAGGAAGGCAAGTGAATATGGTGCACTCAAGGAATGTAAAAGGGGCTGAGCCAGACCAGTGATTCTGTGCTGGCAAGCAGTGGGACACTGTGGCCATGCAAGGCTGGATTGTCAAAACTGGGCAGAGCTATTTAGTTGATCTGCTGGACCGTCAGTGTCTGATGCAGAATCCAGTGGCCATATGTGGCTGTTGAGCATATGAAATGTGGCTCATCCAAACTGAGGTTTGCTAGAATGTAAAATACATATTGGATTCCAAAGACTTGATACAAAGAAGAATGTAAGATTCCTCATTAATTATTTTATATTGGTGACACATTGAAGTGAAGCTATTTTGGATATGTTAAGTTAAATGAAATATATAAAATTAATTTCACCTGTTTGCTTTTACTTTTTTTAAAAACTTGACAACTAGAGAATTTTAAATTACCTATGTGGGGGTTTCCCTAGTGGTCCAGTGGTTAAGATTCTGTGCTTCCAATGCAGGGGGCATAATTTCAATTCTTGGTAAGGCAACTTAGCTCCCACATGCTGCTCGGCCAAAAAAAAAAAATTTACCTATGTGATCTCACATTGTATTTTTCTTGGATAGTACTGTGCTAGGTAGAAGAGGCTTCACAGGTGAACAGGAGGAGGGAACTGACAAAAAGTGATGCTTGAATCTAGAAATGCAGCTGGGGAGATTTCCTGAATACATTTGGCTAGTGCCTTCTCAAATTTCTTTTAAAGTGACACTTTGATGCAGGTGGTAAAAAATCCACCTGCGATTCGGGAGACCTGGGTTCAATCCCTGGGTTGGGAAGATCCCCTGGAGAAGAGAACAGCTACCCAGTCCAGTACTCTGGCCTGGAGAATTCCATGGACAGAAAAGCCTGTCAGGCAACAGTCCATGGAGTCGCAAAGAGTCAGACACATCTGAGCAACTTTCATTTTTGGTGACATCATATTTGTTTGTGACTTTTCTAACTTAAAAGAGGAAGCATTGTGAAAGCAAGGCTATGAGATCCCTAGAGCAGGTAACCAAGGCATTGCCCAATGCCTTTGTCTTGAATAGGCAGTGTGTTTCACACCATATTTTTTAGGCGAAGAATCATTTGGTCTTTAACTAAAAGTGAAAAAGTGAAAGTGTTAGTCCTTCAGTCATGTCCAACTCTTTGGGACCCCATGGACTATATGTAGCCCGCCAGGCTCTTCTGCCCATGGAATTCTCCAGGCAAGAATACTAGAGCTGGCAGCCATTCCCTTCTCCAGATCTTCCTGACCCAGAGATTTATCCAGGTCTCCTGCATTGCAGGCAGATTCTTTACCATCTGAGTCACCAGGGAACTAAACTGGAAGCCAAATCTAAACTAACTAGTTAAAAGAACCCAAATAGAATAATATCAAGTGCTTTGTTGGGCTTACCAAGAGTCATTTAGGACATTTTCCTGTCGTTTAAGCCAGGAGAACCTTCAAGACTCCCAAGAAAGCTTCATTTTTAGAAACCCATGGTAACATTAGAAGACTGAGTTTTGATAATAACTTTGGCTCAGACCATGTGTCTTACCTCTCTTCAGTCATCTGATGCCTGCTGCTGCTGCTGCTGCTGTCGCTTCAGTCGTATCCGACTCTGTGCGACCCCATAGATGGCAGCCCACCAGGCTCCCCCATCCCTGGGATTCTCCAGGCAAGAACACTGGAGTGGGTTGCCATTTCCTTCTCCAATGCATGAAAGGGAAAAGCAAAAGTGAAGTCGCTCAGTCGTGTCCAACTCTTAGCAACCCTATGGACTGCAGCCTACCAGGCACCTCCATCCATGGGATTTTCCAGGCAAGAGTACTGGAGTGGGTTGCCATTGCCTTCTCCCATCTGATGCCTATGGACCCCCAAAACAACATAGCTGTTTTGGAGGGACCTCCCCTAAAGTTTTGTGAAAGGCAGCCTAATGAAGCCAGGTGCATTTACAATGTACAGAGGTGAGCTCAGATGCTTTCCCCTGGACAGCAAGAGTAAAGGCCCTTTAAACTGAAATGCCCAGATTGCACAGCAGATCCTACCCATTATCAGACCCTGGAATTTCTCCTCAGAGAACTTGGAGTTCTACAGTCCCACCTCGCCTTCCATCTCCTGGCCCCTGAGAATGAATAGCACTTTCCCAAATAGAATGCACATCTCAGGGCTGGAGCTCTGAAGGCTTGCTAACTGTCAAACCTTAGGCAAATCCCCAACCTTTCTGAACTTCATTTCCTTATTTGTAAAATGGGCATCACAGGACCTCTCATGCTTACCCCCTTGCAGCCATGGTGCCCAAAGGAGATAATGCATTCCTGAGTACTCTGTAAGCCATAATGCACTAAATGGATGGAAGGTTTTATTCTCATATTCCAATGTCTGTCTGCAAAAGCAAACTCTTCTGCATAACATTAGCACTAGAGCCTTCACCAATGTCTGAAAATCGAATCATCAGTTCCATCTCTTTAGTATATTTGTAGCACTTCCAATAATATATAGGATTTCCAAAAATAAATAACCCAATGATGTTTTAAATAAAAGTTGAGATTACAAGCCAAATTTGGTGCAAATCAGGAATAAGTTTGTTACTGCAAATAAATAGATTTGTGAGCTTCCTGTCATAAAAGGAAAAAAAGGAAACCTCGTGGATATTTGAGTCCTCATTCAATATAAGGAAGTATATAATGCATCTACAGAAAGGAGCTTCTTCCTGGCACTACTTTCTTGAAGGATTTATCAAATGGATTCCTATATGATTATGGAAGGCATTAGAAAAAAACAGTAGTAATAAATTGACTTCATCTGTGGTTTTGCCAAAGTTTATGTTCTTCATATGGAGGTTTCTTATTTCAGCCTCTACACAAGTTATCGATCTTGTTCTTGCTGAGTCCTCATTGACTGCCCTTTAGGAAGAGGGCCCTTGGCAACAACGTAAGCCTGTGTTTTAAACCTCTCCATAGGCAACCGCCTGCTAACTGAAGGGCCTTCCATCCTCTCCTGGGTCTCAGGAGAAGGCTCCTCCAGGTGTAAGAGTCCAGAGCCAATAAAAATGAACAGAACGCTGTTGGCAAAGGGGTTCCCTCTTTGCCCCTTAGCTGCTGGGCCCCAGAACATGGATCCCAGGCCACCAAGGCCAAAGGTTCCAAAGCACCTTAGCGGGGGTGCTTCTGAGCTCAGGAAGGTGAGCCAGGTCCAGGGAGGGCTCTGCCCAGCTTCTCCTGAACCTCGACCCAGCTCTGTGCCTCCATCTTCCAGATCACACGGCAGCAGTACCAGAACGCGCTCACCGCCTGCCACATGGAGAGCTCACCCCAGTCCCCCGACATGGAGGCCTCCACGACCCGGGGCACACCCCAGACTCCCAAGGATGACCCTGCTGCCACCCTCCTGAGCCACCGGAGCAGCCTGCCGTGTAAGCCGTTTGGGAGGTGATGAACTAGGCCGCTGTGGGGTGGGGAAGGCCCTTCTCCCTCCCCGGCCCCGCCTCCCTCCCCGGCCCCGCCTCCCTCCTCGGCCCCGCCCAGAGCTGCAGTCTCTTCTCAGGGGGCCTCAGGTCTCCTCCAGACCAGGGAGGTGATACACTTACTGTCCTCCCCAGGCAGCCGCTCAGATGGGCTGAGAAGCCCCGGCGAGGTCGTGTACCTGCGGATGGAGGAGATGGCCTTCACCCGGGAGGAAATGACCGACTTTGAGGAGCAGAACACGCAACAGCTCTCACTGTCTCCTGCCGCTGTGGCCGCTAGAGCAGGTCAGGGAGGGAAGCTGAGTCCCGTGGAAGTAAAGGGGGGATGGGTCAAGGCCATTGGGTCCTGGTATGGCCCCAGGTGAGCCAGGTGAGGGAAGTCTGGGACCATAGCCCCCACGTAAAGCTCCCCACCTCCTTATGCTACCAGGGAAGGAACACTAAGGTTTACTGTGCACCTCCCAGGCATCAGATCCGCGGTCGTTTATTCTCAGAACACTGTTAGCTAGGTTTCCACCTGGATTCAGACCCTGGCTTCCCCATTTAGGAGTTCGGCAACTTTAGGCAAGTTACTCTAACTTAAGACTCGGTTTCCTTAGGTTAATAGATATCTTTTCTTATGTTTGTTGTTTTTCAGTCGCTCGGTTATGTCTGACGTTTTTGCGTCCCCGTGGACTGTAGCCCACCAGGCTCCTCTGACGATGGTGCTTCCTAGGCAAGAATACTGGAGTGGGTTGCCATTTCCTTTTCCAGGGGAACTTCCCGACCCAGAATCAAGCTCACATCCCCTGCATTAGCAGACGGGTACTTTACCACTGAGCATCCAAGGAAACCCATTCTTCCTTAGGTTACTAGATAAAAATCACGGTGGCTGCTTCACGGTGGGTAGCTTTGAGCAGAAATGAAATAACATTTATAGGAGGGTGCATCACAGTACTGGTACCGTGCTCCCTAAGGAAGTTATTATTAGGCCTAATTTATAGATTAAGAAGGGTTTCCCTGGTGGCTCAGACAGTATAGAATCCACCTGCAATGCAGGAGTCCTGGGTTATATCCCTGGGTTGGGAAGATCACCTGAAGGAGGGCTTGACAACCCACTCCAGTATTCTTGCCTGGAGAATCCCCATGTACCGAGGAGCCTGGCAGGTTACAATCCTTGGGGTTTCAAAGAGTTGGACACAAATGAGCAATTGAGCACATTTGCTCTTACTGGCAGGGCTCTTCCCCTTCTTTGAGCCCCTGAGACTAGCAGTAATCTGTAGGATCTGTCCTGATCTCTGAGATCATAGCACCTCCCATGGAGACACTGAATACTCCTGTCTTGACTGCAGTGTTGCTCCAAGCTCCCAGCGTCCCACCAGTCCTGAGATCCTTCTATGCTTGCCTGCTAATCATCAAGCTAATCATCTCCATGTATTGTGCACCCCCCAACACACACACCAACGACCCCAAGGCCAGCACCCATCCTGCCTCCAGACCCGCCCCAGTCCACAAGACTGAGATCCCTCAAGTCCAGAGCAGTGACCTGACAAGTGCTCATAGACTTTTGAAGTCAGTGAGACAACATATTTGAACTTGTGGCTAACTCAGAAAATCTAGGATATGCGTAATCACAATTCCAGGACCTGAATTTAGAATGATGGTTTTAGAATGATGGATTTTAATAGCTAACACATGTAGCAAGGAATGATATCAAAGGAATAAGAATAGAGGAGATGGGCTAGTCTTTGGAGATTATTCCAGTCCATCCTCCTCTTATGACACATGAGGGCCTACGCCTGGAGAAGGGAAATGGCTTCTCCAATCCACCACACCATGTGCCTCCACAGTGAGATTCAGAGGCATTGGTGGTCAGGGCCTGGGTCCCTTTCCAGCTCTCAGATCTGGCAGTTCTCTGAATCCCCCCTCGGTTTGGAAGAAGAAAGCACATGAGCTTAGCTGTTATTGAGCCCTGTGATTTTTTCAGGGTTCATGCAAGGAGAGGAAGGTGAAGGTGACACCCGACCTTCCTCCAAGGTGCTTCTTATCTGGCAGATACTGAGTGGAAATTCTCATGTTCTCGCCTCTGTCTGACCTAACGGTGCTTGGAGAGTTGGATTCTTGCTCCTCTTCCCTTGTTTCTTAGTTCCTTTTGTGGCCCTAAAAAGCCTCTTGCTAAGTAATTAGAGCCTTTGTCTTCCTGGACATCCCTTCTATGTTACAGCCGCCACTGCCTTGGCTCTGGTTTTGAGCTTTCACCTGCCAAGGAGCATTGGCAAAAAACACCCTACCTGGACCCTGGGTGTTCTGGTAGAAAGGCTTGTGTTCTTTCTTCTTTTCTTTTACTCAGCATCAGATAGTGAATGTTGTCACATCAACCTGGACACAGAGACCAGCCCCTGCAGCAGCGACTTGGAGGAAACCATGGGCAAGAAATTGCTGAGAACCTTGAGTGAGTACTTCTTTACCAGGATGAAAACCACCCACCAGCTGGTTAGTATGAAAAACATGCTAGGATCTTACTCCTGAAGGAGAAACCATTGACTCCTTTTGGGAACCCAAGTGAGGTACAATTGTGGAAACCTGTAATGGAGTTTGAGCAGGTACTGCACCCTTGATAGTTTGGGCATCTGTCCCATTCAATGTGTAGTTGTCTAGGGCAGGAGTCTGTAAACCATGGCCACAGATCAAATCCTGGCCTCCTCCCCTGCCCATTCCTGTAAAAAATAAGGAGGCTTCCCTGTGGCTCAGACAGTAAAGAATCTGCCTGCAATGTGGGAGACCTGGGTACAATCCCTGGGTTGGGAATATCCCCTGGAGAAGGGAATGGCAACCCACTCCAGTATTCTTGCCTAGAGAATTCCATGGACAGAGGAGCCTGGCGGGCCACCATCCATAGGGTTGCAAAGAGTCAGACACAACTGAGCAACTAACACTTTCACTTTCACTTTATTGGATCATAGAACCCACCAGTCATTGATGGCCACAATGGCAGAGTTGAGTAGTTGCAACAGGGACCAAATGGCCTGCAAAACCTAAAATACTTACAACTTGGTCTTTTAAAGAAAATTTGTGTTCAGGAAACTCAATAAAAAGGAGAGCAATATCCTCTGTGGAAGGAAGTCCATGGCAGGGAGAACAAGGTGAAAAGTACTCCTTTCTAAAAACAATGGAGCTGGGAACAGAGTACCCTCCACCCCCACATACCCCAATGCAGAAGAGAGGTTGCCTCTGATCTAGAGAGTGTAAGTCCCTGGGGATGGCTTCCAGCTACAACCACCACCTCTGGCTCAGGGACATCAAAGTCCGTGAGACCAGTCTTCTCTCTGAGGGTGTCTGGCAACCATTTGAGCTGGGGATGAGGAGGCGTGCTCCTGGGACACTGTGTGGGCTTCGCTCGATCCCGTCCAGGAAATCTTCGATCATTGGCACTAATCTGGACGTGTAGCTTTTTGGAGATGTCATCTCAGGTGGAAGGTGCATTCTAATCCTTCAAGATGTGCATATGCTGATATTAGGACCTGGAGACAATGCAGACTACTGCCAAACTATCGAGGGCTTTGTCTCCATTCCTGTTTCTATTTTGAAGAGCGCTTGAGACAGTACTCATGTTCTCCCAGCCTTACAGATTGACCCTTAGAAACTGTGTTTTTCAGGTGGTCGTAAAAGGAAGAGGTCACCAGATGGAGAGAGAACCTCTGAGGAGAACTCCAACTTAACGCCTCTCATCACATGACAGCGCTGTCAGCGTCCACTGGGGGCGTGAGATTCCAGAGCTCTGGGGAGAACCCATCCTCCCGTCGTCTGCTTCTCCCCAAGGCCTCCCACTGGTGACAGAGCGTACTGCTTTCTTTACCACCTCTTCACCCCTAGCCGTCAGTGTGGCAGATTTTTCTCTCATCACCTCCAGTTTGACTCAGAGCCTTGCGGTGGCTGTGACAGAAGGAGGTGCCTCAATGGAACATGCTAAAAATGATCTCGTCCATAGCACAGTCTGGGACTGCAGAAGAAATGACCCCAGGCTGACAATGCCACTCTAGGACCCCTGATGCACTTCCTGTTCCTTGGTGTCACTTGGCACCATATTTCATGCTTCCCTTAGGTCAAAAGGTGCCACTGGCAGGTGAGAACAAAGGAGGCTGGGGCAGCAGGTAGGAGAGTTAGTTCAGGAGATGCACCAAGAATTTCTCCAGAACATTAGAGCAGCGGGACTCAGTCATGCTGCCATGTGACGTTACAGGACAGAAAACTGTTGGTGACCAGTTTCCTGTTAGAAGAGGGTTCCAGCAGCCTGGGAGGTGTGTCTCAGCTGGAATGAAAAGAATGTAAGATGGAACCTCAAGTCACTGTGTTTCCCAGGGACACATCTGTTTTGGCTCCTGATTAGTAGTCATCAGTCCATCAGTAAATCTGCTCTGGAAGAGGAGGAGCAAGGAGAAGAGAAACCCATTTGGGAGCCAGAGATGGAACTTCAGGTTTTAAATTCCAAATATATATATATATACATATATATATATATATATATATGGAAAAGTTTTAGCCATGAAAAGCCAAAGAGTGCCCAGGTCAGCCAAGAAGGATGCAAGCTCTCATGCAGCTTCAGTGTGTATTACACTGGAACATTGAAGAATCACTCTTCTTTTTTTGTCCATTCCTCCACCCCCACCCTTTCCTTCACTCCATCAAGTCAGCTGAGTGTACTTTATTCCTAGAATGTACCAGATCTCTGAATAAAGTACCAGAGAGAGCTGGTACATTCAACACCGTTTTCACCTGATGTTGGGCTTCTGTTGTGGCTCAGCTGGTGAAGATCCGCCTGCAATGCGGGAGACCTGGGTTCGATTCCTGGGTTGGAGATCCCCTAGAGAAGGGAAAGGATACCCACTCCAGTATTCTGGCCTGGAGAATTTCATGGACTGTGTAGCCCATGGGGTCGCAGAGAATCCTTCCTATGCGACTGAGCAACTTTAACCTCACTTCACTTCACTTGGGACAGGTGCAATTCCAAGGATAACCACCAGGTGGCAGGATGACTGCACAGACCTGCTTGAAGAGTAAACTGATGAGAAACCACAGAGCCAGCCTTACAGAATATGTGGAAGTAAGTGAAGGTTGTCTTTGGGACACTTGTATCCCTTTCTGATGTATATCCCACCCATTGGGTTCCCTAGATCAGGGATCCAGTAATCCAGTGCTCATCTCAAAACCATTCCCTAACTTTTCTTTGGGGATGTAATTCTCAGGCTTCCCTCATCTTCCTCCAAAACCATTACTCCCACTTCCCCAAACCCATCCAATCAATAATCACATAGAGGGTGGAGAGACTGATAATTCCTCTGGGTTATTTGCATCTCAAAAGAAAATGCTTACCCACGGGAACCTTTACCTCAGGGGTTCTTAACTTGGGGTCCGTCACTCCAGGGGGTCCATTGTTGGACTTCAGAGGGTCTATGAAACCCCTAACTCTGTCAGAATTTAGTGTCTGCCTTCTTATGTGTGTTTTCCAGAGGGCTAAAGCTTTCATACGATTCTCAAAGTTCTCAGACCCGCAAAGTATTAAAATCCACTGTTTAACTAGTGGAACTTTCAGCCCAGAGTTTCTGCAATGCAGAATGAAGTGAATACTGGGTAGTTTGAGACAGATTTTTAGTTGTAAATGGCCTTCCCAAGTGTCCATCAAATCGATGGCGAAAGCTGGCACCCACCAAGTGGAAGTCGTCAGAAGTCCTTGGCATACCCTATGGTATTTACAGCGTACACCCACGTAACTTGGTCCCCACCAAACCCCAGCAGGTGTCTGCAGACAGGAGGGGCACAGCATGTGGAAGTGGACTTTGCCTTTTTCAGCAGTGTATTATTGACTTCACATCCTTTGCCTGGCCCTGCCTGAGGCTCAGCAGTGCATGATTTCTCGTAAATAACTCACAGCTACCACCCACCCCCAACACCTACCCTTGCCTGGTAGAAACAGCCGAAGTGTCAGCCCTCGGTGCTGGGTGCCTCTGACCCAAACCGGTGAATGCTGTTTCAAACAAGGTGCGCAGTCACGCAGTCTTCTTGCCCAGCTGGCCACTGGCCCAAGGGTTCCGCCTGGCCAGTCTTCCTTTCATTACGCCTTAGGCCACTGCTGTTGCTTCACACCCGTCTCTTTGCAAAATCCCTAAGAAGCCTGTCACCACACCTCCCCCTTTACCCCACCCCCTCCCAAGATTTTCTCCAGGTTACAAAAAAAGTAAAAAAAAAAAAAGAGGATTTTGAAATAAAGTATTTATGAAGGCTCAATACATTGTAAATAATTTTTAAATAAAATAAAAATCCTTTTCCTGGACTATGGCTGTTTTCCTTGCCCCTGCATCTCAGAGTTCCAGAGTGGTTTTCCTTTGAGATGTAGGGCGGGGTGGGGCACACACCTGAGGGCCACCTGCTTGAAGAGGCACTCCTCTCAAGGCCAGGTGTGAGGTTGCAGGTAAGGTTACAGGAAAGCCCTGTGCTCTGCTTTGGGATGTCAGATGGGTAAGATCTTGCAGGAACAAATTTCAGAAATGGAAAGTAAAACCCAGATGAGAAGCCAGAGTGTGACTTTAGACAAGAAAGGAGCATGAGGATGAAAATGAGAAGGGCTGGCATTTTTCAGAGCCCTGTGTTTGCAAGGCACTGGACTGGGTGCCTTCCAAGTTCAAGGTTTTAGGGGCCAGATCCAGTCTAGCGTTTGAAGCAATGTGCTCGCTGGCTCACTTCTGCAGGCCCTTTGGAGAGGAGCCAAAGTAGCCCAATTCCAGTGATTTCCAAAGAGACGCTGGGAAAAGGAACAAGGGAGCAGGGAGGGCTTATTGAGTAGTTATAAACCAAGACAGGAACAAGGGGACAACCAACAGGTGGGCAGTCATTGAAGTATTTATGGACTTTGTGGAAGGTTGGAATCTCTCACCTACTACTGTCTCCAACCAGCACACAGAACAATTAGTGACCTGCACCAGGACTGCTTGGGATTCTTCCCAGGAGCTGCCCACAGGCTGTAAAGTTCACTGTGCGCACATGCTCTGTAGTGTCCGATTCTTTGAAACCCCCTGGACTGTAGCCCACCAGGCTCCTCTGTCCATGGTATTCTCTAGGCAAGAAAACTGGAGTGGGTTGCCATTTCCTACTCCAGGGGATCTTCCCAACCCAGGGATCAAGCCTGCTTCTCTTATGTCCCCTGAATTGGCAGGTAGGTTCTTTACCGCTAGTACCAGCTGGGAAGCTCCTAAATTTCATTAACAGTAAATAAATTATGTTAATTGCTCAGTCATGTCCGACTCTGCGATCCCATGGACTATAGCCTGCCAGGCTCCTCTGTCCATGGAATTCTCCAGGCCAGAATACTGGAGTGGGTAGACTTTCCCTTCTCCAAGGGATCTTCCCAACCCAGGGATCAAACCCGGGTCTCTTGCATTGCAGGCAGATTCTTTATTATCTGAGCCGTGAGGGAAGCCTTAAATAAATGATCCTAATAACTATTTTGTTGAGGGTTCTATGTGAACTTCAAAGGTAGGATCGGCCCAGCACTCATGCTCCTAGTCTTCACCACTTCGTGGCCATGGAACCTTGAGCAATTCATAACTTATTTTACAAACTGTGACACAGGCCAGGGACCATGCTCCTTCCCAGGGTGGTTCTGAGAAAGAAACAAGCGTGCCCACATTTCGAGGCGCACGGAGAAGCCCTGCAGTAAAGAACCTTGTGTAACTGGCTAAGGCCAGCTTTTCCCAGACTTACCCAAGGCCATTCGTGTGAACACTAGTGGGAAAAAGGAACACACTGCAGAACAAGAGAATTAAGAAGGCCAGATTCTCATGAGATTGGGACTTCTTTATATGCTAAAAACATTTGAGCACTTTGGTAAGTATACTTTGGCTTAAAGAAGTGTTTCCAACTGGTTTTTCATTAGCAATCCCCCCAGAGAGAAATACTCAATTCAAATTCTGCCCAACAAGAGAAATTAAGATTTTGATAAATTAAGATACCCAGAAATAAGATTTTGTCAAGTAGGGTTTTGCTTTGGAAGACCACAAAACCACTTTAATATTTTAGACTTTCTTTTGCCCTCATGAACCAATCTTTGCCACCTCAGAGGTCCTATCACCCCTGTCTAGAATTCAGTATAGAGCTATGTTTGGGAAGAATGATAGATTGACAGAAGGTAGAAATCACTGTACTCCAGTTTTTCTCATTCCCTTATGAAGGGCAAGCATCTTTAAATAGGAAGGAGAACAAACATTGATAGAAAGAAAAATAAAATGAAAGGTAATGAAGAGATGAGTGTGAGGTCATATCCATTCACATCCTCCAGACCCAGTCACGCACCAACACAAGTTCACTGAAGGACTCCAAGGAACGAGCCGGGTGGTGAAGGATATAGAAGCCATAATCTGTGCAGAAACACTGAAGCATCATGGAGGGTGGAGTTTCACTTGGAGAAGCAAAAGCAAGGAATACCAACTACTTCTCTCAAATATTTGAAGGGTCATCAATCAGAAGTACCCGAAGATTTAGTGTGTGTCATTTAAAGGAAGGGAGGAGGGGAGCCAGGGGATAGGGTAGATGGCAATCAAATTCTGGATCAAAGTAAAAGACCTCTTTAATGAAAATGCTCCAACAGTAAAATGGATGTTTCACCAAGTATTGAAAGAACACAACCCCCCACCCAACCCAGTTGAAAGTGATGAGTCAGGGACAACACAGAAGAGACCCTTTCATTGGGAGAGAGAGGCTACAGCTGATGACTTCTAAGATCTTGATCAGCCCTCAAGACTGTAGCATTTTAGGGACTTCCCTTGCAGTCCAGTGATTAAGAATCCACGCTTCCTCTGCAAGGGGTGCAGGTTTGGTCCCTGGTTGGGAAACTAAGATTCCACATGCAGCACAATGCAGCCAGTTTTTTTTAATTAAAAAAAAGGACTGTAAAATTTTATTGTTTTTGTCTTAAGGCTGGGTAAGTACAGGGTTTGCAGGCCTGTGGGATGCAGCCCAACACTGAGTGTTCCTGACATGCTGACTTAACAAGATTTATAGGATAGTGTTCTTGCCTGGAGAATCCCAGGGATGGCGGAGCCTGGTGGGCTGCCATCTATGGGGTCGCACAGAGTCAGACAGGACTGAAGCGACTTAGCAGCAGCAGCAGCCATGTACCTGTGCTCCAGGGGCTCCCGCAGGTTGCTAAGCCTCAGAATGAGCCCCAGGCTGAGGTGTTGGGTGCCCCACCCCCAGCCCAGAACCTTCCCATTCTAAGACAGCCCCATGACACTGGCAGTGGTCCTGTGAGCCTCAGCCTCATGTAAGGAGTGGGTGTGAAGTGCCTCCGGATTATCTGTGATAGTCATGAGGACTAAGATGCTTCCCTGGGGGCTCAGACTAAGATCATGGCATCTGGTCCCATCACTTCATGGCAAATAGATGAGGAAACAATAGAAACAGTGAGAGACTTTATTTTCTTGGGCTCCAAAATCACTGTAGATGGTGACTGCAACCTTGAAATTAAAAGACACTTGCTCCTTGGAAGAAAAGCTATGACAAACCTAGACAGCATATTAAAAAGCAGAGACATTACCAACAAAGGTCTATATATAGTCAAAGCTATGGTTTTTCCAGTAGTCATGTATGGATGTGAGAGTTGGACCAAAAAGCTGAGCACTGAAGAATTGATGCTTTTGAACTGTGGTGTTGTAGAAGACTTTTGAGAGTCCCTTGGATGACAAGGAGATCCAACCTGTCAATCCTAAAGGAAATCAGTTCTGAATATTCATTGGAAGGACTGATGCTGAAGCTGAAGCTCCAATCCTTTGGCCACCTGATGTGAAGAACTGTCTCATTGGAAAAGACCCTGATGCTGGGAAAGATTGAAGGCAGGAAGAAAAGGGGATGACAGGATGAGATGGCTGGATGGAATCACCAACTCGATGGACATGAATTTGAGCAAGCTCTGGGAGATGGTGATGGATTCCGGTGACTTCCCACTGTCTTCCATTCCTTCCAGAATCCTCCATTGTGACATGAGATTTGTCCGAATGAGGCTTCTAGCCACTGATGGTCAGGTGTGAGGAATGGAGAGTTCTTGCCTTGCACTGAGGGAACGTTTGCTTCTAGTATAACTGGCTTCTTGGGTAGAGATGTGTGGTTCTGCCCTTCAAAGGCAAAGGGGTTGCTGTGTCCTTTGCCAAGTCAAGAACCAGGAGATACATGGTGTCCTATTCCAGGTAGATGCTGAAGGAACTGGTGAGGGATAGGAATTGGTGAGGAGTGTCTTCCCTCTTCCTGTGAGGGAAGAGTGAAAAACTGGACAAGTATTTTCAGGAAGGGAGGCAAGTGAAGGAGGCGGCCCTGGATAAACGTGGTCACCTTGTACCTTTTTGAGTCACTAAGGGAAGTTTCAGATGAGGCTTCAGAAAGACTGAATTCTGACAGAGAAAGCCCTGTAGTCTACTCTGCCCTTGACGCTGAGCGAGTCACAGGCCACGCTGGGAGACCCTGAGAGCTGCTCGGCACTCACCCTTCCTGCTGTACGAGGGTTAAGTAACAGGTTAAACTTGTGGACTCGAGCCAGACTTCATGGCTTCAGATCCCTATCACCTGTGAGTCATGTGACTGATACTGGTATTAGGCAAGTCACTCGATTCACTGTGCCTGTTTTCTCCTCGGTGGACGGTGAAGATTAACATTAATGCCCACTGCATTGATTTATCATTGAGGATTAAGTGAACCTACATAGATATATATAAAGGGCTTGGAATAGGGCCTGACAATAAATCATTTTCAATAAAGTCTTTCCTCAGACCTTTGTTTTTAAAATATTCAGTTTTATTTATCTGGCTGCACCAGGTCTTAGTTGTAGCACAGGGAGCCCTCAACCTTAGCTGTGGCATGCAAGATCTTTTACTTGCAGCATGCAAACTCTTAGTTATAGCATATGGGGTACAGTTCCCTGACCAGGGATCGAACCCAGGTCTCCTGCATTGGGTGCGTGGAGTCTTAGCCACTGGACCACTGGGGAAGCCCCTCAGATTTCCCTTACATATGTAATTTTTAAAGAAAATATTAATTACAGGTGAAGCATCTCACTGTCTTGCTCCTTTTCTCCTCACTGGTAACCACTTTCCTGAGATTGAGGTATACCTTTCCTACCTATATTTTAAAACTTACTACATACGTATGTACTCATAAGCAACTACAGTATGCAGCACATTTTAAGAAATGGTCTCATAAATGGCATCACATTTCACCTTTCATCCACTTAGAATTATCCGTGAGCTTTACCCTCATTAATGCACACAGCTCTGGTACCCTCTGAATTAC